CACAGAACATTGTAATCATAATTTAAACAACAAAGACACACTTCCAGGTCAATGCTGTGGGGAGTGGGTTCATTTTCATTACTTGCTAAGAACCTTATTAGTGCTTAAGACACATTAAACTCTTTACCTCAGTGAGACTTCTGAGCTCATTTAAACTCCCAGCATGCTCTTAGGGCTTGTATTAATTTCCCCATGTTAACGTTTGCCTCTGACATCACACTTTGAGAACAGGAATGCGGAAGAGATCTCTTGGGAATTGGGTGTGAATACAGTCTGTCCACCTTAACTGTAGGGGGTCTATTCCAGGACCCCAGTAGATGCCTGAAGCCACAGGAAGCACCCAACCCTATGAATGCTATGATTATGCTACAATTTAATAGTACACAGGTTTAGCTAAGCTTGATGGCATGATTTATTAGTTAATGTTCTATCTATTGCTGTGAAGAGACGTCATGGTCATGGCAACTCTTACAAGAGAAAGTATTTAACTGAGGCTTACTTACAGTTTCAGAGGTTCATTTCATTATCATCATGGTGGAAAGCATGGCAGACATGGTATTGGAGAAGTAGCTAAGAGTTCTACATCCAAATCTGCAGGCACAAGGAAGAGCAAGCCACTGGGCCTGGCTTGGGCTTCTGAAAATTTCAAAGCTCACCTCCAATGACACACTTCCTCCAACAAAGCCACATCTTCTAATCCTTTCAAATGGTGCCACTGCCTGGTGAGTGAACATTCAAACCCATGAGCCTATGAGGACCATCCTTATTCAAACTATCACACATTGCTACTCAGGAGGCTGAGGCAGGAGTACTGAGAGTTGAAGGCCATCAGCTAAGTCTCAAAACATTTAACATTTTTAAAAAATAAGGACTGGGGGTACAGCTCGCTGATAGAGAACTTGTCTAGCATGCAAGTGACCCTAGGTCTTATTCCCAGTACTGAAAAGAATAAATAAAAGTAAATTTGGTTCATGAACTAAGGGATCCAAGCTCTTCCTATCTTGCAAGGCTGCGATTTTAAATATGGCAGGTGGTTGTCATGGCATGTGACCATGGGGAAGGAAGACCAAATAAAGAGGTAACAGAAAAATAATGCAGAAGGCCTTATAGCTATTGTCTACCCCCATTGCCTTACCCAACCCAACTTGTTTTGTAACGGGGAGTTTATGTTCCTCTGTATCCAGAAAATGGGGAAATAATGCAAGATTTGAGGACAATACATTATCTCTACCACAACTGGTTTTACCCACGTAGGTAAAATGCCTAATTAAAAGACCTTGCCAACTTCTCTCCACATTCTTCAGTCTTCACAGAATATGTTAAACAACCCCCTCGCAATGTCTTTATGACTTTCTGGAATTGTGTCTCAAGTATATATTGTACTTAATTAATTGTTCACAGCATCCTGGGGAGACAGATGCAACCTCTTTTAAAGCCTAACTATATCAAATTAAACTAAGGAGCTGTGTCCAGACTGGACACAAGGCAACTCAGATGCCTCTGGGCAAGCAACACAGAGGGGAAACATAGCAAATATCTCTGAGCTCAAAGGACCTATGATGTAAGTGGATGCTGGAAAGGGAACTTCTAAGGGTAGGGAGTCAGCTGGAAATGGCTGAGTCAGCTCAAGAGAAATAAGGGGACTGTGCCAGAGTGGGCTATTGGCAACGTCATAGAGTGCTCCATAAAATACAGGGAGACTGAAGGCAATTTGTTCTTGTTGTTGCTCTGGGATGGAACCCAGGGCTTCACAGATACCAGATATACACTCCACTTCTGAGTTACCCTATGAGCCCAGTAAAAACAAAATGAAATAACATCATCAATTGGTTTATTTGGTTCTCCTGGTCTTGCCAAGAAAAATCTAACTTGTCCCACTTGAAAACATTCTTAACTCACATGTGGGCATTCCCAGTAAGCTCCAACTCTACTCAAAATGAGTATTACTAACAGATACAAGCTCCCTGGGACATAACTGACACAAGCCAACGCTTAGCAAGTGACTGACCTCATCTAGGTTCAACTGCAGCTGAAGAGTTTCTATGTTAACCTAATGAGATGGCAGCAGTGACTACTTCCACCTCTGGAAGGGGTCAGAAATAATTTCGTTCCTTGTGTTATTGTTCTGTGACAAGATACATATGGAAAGTACTATAAAAACTATACATTACAGCATTAATGTTAGTTGCAACTAGCATTAAGATTCCAGATGGATGAAAACTTCAATTTCAAACATTTTTCTGGCAAAAGACACTGAGCTAACTCAGGAAATGTTAGATAGGGCAGCTCCTGGAATACCAAGGGTTCGAGGAGAATATAGATAATGCAGGATAACCTTATGAAAATCAGACTCTGGATCCTTGTCATTCAACAAACATTAATTGAGTGCTTACTAAATACAGATCTATTCTAGAAGATAGACATTCAGTGTTGAACAGAATAAACAAGACCTTCTTCCAAAAGCAAGGACAATTGTGTCTATGCCCTTCTGCAATGACACTGAAGATGTTTCTATGTCACCATTTCCACATCTGAAAGAAGGATAAGAAGGTCATCATGAAGGCCAGTGTTGCTTAGACACTCAGCACCACTCCAGGCTCCCAGTACAGGTATGTGAATGCCAGTTAAACGCAAAGAGTGCATTTAGTAACTGAGTTAAACATTACAATAATTTAGGCACTGTGATGAGGTAACACAAGGCCACATGGACAAGCCAGACAAGATCTCCTTTAGACTGGGCATTCAAGAAGGGTAGAGTTCAAGTAAAATCCTGGATAATGAAGAGGATTTTCAGCCAGAAGATGGTTTATTGGTTTGTGGTCCGAACTAGAATAAAAGTGAGTATGATCAGCTCTCATAATGGAGAGAAAGCCAAAAGCAGCTATGACACACTAGGCAGAAAGGCATGGGTAGGATATGGGAGATGTGAGAGAGACAGGCAGAAGCTAGCTCAGTGGGCCTTGAAGTATTCATGTCTGGGATGAAAACTTTGAGTTCATATAAAGCCAAGCAAAGGATGACGCTAAGTTGCAAAGGAACAGAATTCCATATGCATTTCATGAGCACCATTTGGCTGCTGTGTAGAGAGGAGACAGATGATGGGAATACAAGCCGAGAAACCAACGGCCATGAGGGCAGCTATCTGAATCATTCAGGATAAAGCATAGGCAGGATAGACAGGAATGTATGTAGTGGAGACCAAGGAAACAGAACAGATACTTTTATATGCTTTGAAAGCAGAATGGCCAGGGTGTATATATACAGGATATGAGGCCTGGCAGGAAAGAGTTCACTGGAGATGTAGTGGCTCATAGAAACAGATGACAACATGAGGGTGGGAAACTTGTCTCGGTGCTGCAACAAAACACCCGGCAAAAGGCGATTTAGGAAAGGAAAGGCTTATTTTGGTTTACACTTCCAGATGATACAATCCATTATGGTAGTGACGGATTGCCAGCAGAAGCAAGGGGGCAACTGGCCATAGGGTCCTCAATATGGAAGCAGAGACACCCGAATGCTTGCACTCAGCTAACTTTTTCCTTTTTATACAGCCCCAAATCCAAACAATGGTGCTGCCCACCTTCATGGGGGTCCTGCACCTCCAGCTAAATTAATCTAAATAATCCCTCAAAGGCATACCCAGAGATTTGTTTCCATGGTGATTTCAAATTCCTTTAAGTTGGCAGTCAAGATTAAGCATCACAGATACCTTCCAAGACATGGGAAACATTGGGCATCACTAGTACCTTAATGACTAGACAATCAAACTCTAGCCTCTTCCTGGCTTTGTGACTGTGATCATTGATCAAGCCTCACGATCAACAAGAGGGTAATGATAATGTCTTCCTCAATCACATCTCAGGACATTTGTGAGGATCCAATTAGATAACAAAAGTAAAAGACTTTGGAAGACAAGCCACTGTATAAATGTAGTGACATTGTTTTAACTGTCATCTTAATTTGGAGCCAGTGTCTCAGTCATTGAATATTGCTACTTGAAAGAATTAGCAATAACTTCTTAAAGTTAGGTTCCTTAACACACTAGAAGGGAGCTGGAGGTACAGCCACGTCTCTGTCTGCTGTCATTTCTGTCTCCTTGTGACAACCTAATGCCATTAGCCATGCTCCTATCATGGATCCCATGACTGTATTCTTGATCTAATGCAACCTGATACTGTTTAAAGGAATTTTGTGTCAAATTTTAAAATGGAAGAAAATTCAGGGTCTAGATGTCACTTCTAAAGTCAGTAAGCCTGGTCAGAAAGAACTCTGAATCAGGGGGGAAAAAAATCAATCCTTTCTTGCTTTCAAGGAGTAATAGCCCATAACAGACAGGAGGCAAAGGGCTTTCTTACGGTTTAGTGAGTGTGCACAAAACCTAAACCTCTGAATTCTCTTATGGATAACAATGCCCAAAAGTATTTCTTTCACTGTAGCACTATTGTATAAAAAGCATGGAAGTGACCTAAAAATAAAAGAAAAGAAGCTTGAGTAACTAAATTATAGGATTATAAGAATGCCTGGTGCCTAGCTTTGCATTTAAGTCTTAAAATGTATGTAATATACATATTCATCTTTAAAATGCAGCGATTTCAAAAGTATGGAAAGTGTACCAGTGTAGTCAAAATAACATTTTCTAGAGTCATTTGGGTATAGTCACTGATATAAAAAGCTCAGTGTGAGCCACCCTGGGAGCTCATCTCTGTCCTTGTAGTTGGGGGATGCAGGGGCTGGTGGGTAGCTCTAGCGAGAGGCAAGGTAGCTGATATGGCAATGACTCTGTAGGCTGAAGATGCCAGAGTTCTCCCTAGGGTAGAGAAGGACTCTAGAGAAGGGAACTAGGCTGGGTCACCTGGAGAGAGGAACTAAGCACGAGAGGCCAGGTGACCACAAGACAAGGTAGCTCTCCAAGTAATGAAGGAATGATCATAGACAACCAGCTGGGGAAGGCACTGGCCACATCCATGGAACCAGGAACTCCAGCAACACATTATACATACTTGCCTTCATGCTCCTGGGTCATCCCTTCCCCACTGGTAACCCCAGAGAAGTCTGGTGCCTCCTGACGAGCTGCCTCAGATTTCCAACCGAGAGCCACTGGCTGAGTCCTTGCACAGGATAGGATTTGTTTCCTGAACGTGACCAGCAGACTTTATCTCATTACCAGAAAGACTGGAGACATCACAGGATCCAGCCCATGTGTGTCGCCTGCAGAAGCAAGACAGTTGAGAGAGCCTATCTCTCTGTACAGGCAGGGGTGAAAATAACCCTGCCGTTGTCAGCGGTTGTTCCCTTCAGCCTGTCTATTACACCCAACACATCTGTGACATAAAAGACAATAGGTGGTTTGAGCAAAAAGCCAATCTATAAACAGCAAAAGAATCTGACTCTCTGTAAATGGACCAGACTCCTTTTATGCCTCCTGGAACCTACTGGTACATTTTACTTGCAATTATTGTTTTGATGTGCTTTAAAAATTCTGCTAACAAAATAGCATTAATAAGTTCTAATGTGGTTGTATGTTTGTTTTTGAAACAATGCCTCCCACTGTAGCCCAGGCTGGCTGGCACTCACACAATCCTCCTAACTGGACTTCCCAAAGGCTAAGATCAGAGGCACCATGCCTGGCTCTTTCTTTAAACACCAAAGGAAGGGGATTGTGGTATTCAAATGATAATTCCCTAAGACCTATCACAGAAACTTGACATTACCTGCTACCTCAGAAGAGTCTGGGTTATGCTTGGGAAAGAAGGGGCATTATAATCTGCTTCTATAGGCTTCCAATTTACATTCGCATTTATATCAAACCGGCAACAATAAACCGTCCAGGGTTAAGCTCTCCAATGCCAATTATTAGTTTTTCAGCTTATAATTTTTAAAGATAATGGCTCTTTTTGGAATCACACAGAATTTTACACCAATTTCCCAGCTGCTGCTTTGTGATTTTACTCCTCTGGTTACCCTAGAAACAGTACCAGAATTAATGGTTTTCGGGAAATATTTTTATTGCTTACATAGCAAGATCCTCCCATTATTTTGGAAAACTAAATGAATTGTCTGTCTTTGAAAGTAAGACTTCCTGAAGCATAAAAGAAGAAACATTATAGGAAGAAATGTAAATGCCACTTTAGCTTGAAAGGAAGCGGCTCATGGGGACAGCTACCTATGTGCCAACACACGGGTTTTTGTGTTTGTTTCTGTTGTTCCCCTTGTTTAGACTGGGATTTGTAGAGGGGACTTACTTTTTGCTTTGGGTAGTGAAGCCTCTCTGAGATGAGAGGCTCAGCATGGGGGACTGACATCCTCTGGGAAGGGAATGGGAGGAAGCTGCCCCTCTTCACAAAATAAGAATCCCAACCCCCTTCATGTACCCTACACAAGGATGAGGAGAGAAATAAGTCATCAGTGGTCAGGTACCTCAGAACACTACGAAAACTAGGCCATCTCTAGGATGGAAGTCAAAAAGAAGGCCAGGCTTTACCTCCCTGCTTCAAGTTCAGCACTGCTTTGAGGTGTTTCCTTGGCAGCGAGGATTGCGATGTCTCCTCTGCACAACATGACTTTACTATAAACAGCTCTTACATTTCAGAAGATCACAATGCGCTCTTCGACATACCAAGACCCTATTTTGAGTTTAAAAAGAAACTCCAATCCCCAGATTTAAAAAACTGGGGTGGGGGTTAAAAATACCAATCATGAAAACAAAATAAATATTTTAGACATTGACCCTAAAATAAAGAAAAGTGCCCCCCCCACTATTATTACTGGCATTGTTTCTAATTGTTCATGTGGCTTTAGGGAAGTCACTCACTGCCATGGCCTAAGTTACTAAGATCTCTTCTGCCCTTCAAACTACAGGGTAAAGGGACAAAGCTAATCAAATGTGTTGGTCAGTCTTCACATTGATGGGATCAAAATACCCGGCATAAGCAGAGTCAGACAAGAGTTGATTCACTGTCTTGGTGTTCTCATTCCTTTGTGATAGGTGGGGCATCATGGAGCAGGATTGTTCAACCCATGCAAGGCATAAAACAGAACAACCTAGCTCACAACAACAGCAGGAAGTAGAGAAAGGAAGGGACCAGGGACAAGATACTGCCCAAACACTGCTAGGATCCACCTCTTCAATTCCTAGTAGCTTGCAAAATAGCAACACCTCACACATGAACCTTCTGAGGAGACACTTTATACCCAACAATAGCAAAAGGAATGACCAGAAAACAGCTCTTAGAATGTCAAAGAAGACAGGCCACTGAGGCAGGAGTGAAGAGCCCAGACCCTCACCTGGCCCCTGCTTTCGTAGCCATGACAGGCTTCAGAAAAGACCCAGCAAGATAGTTCCCTGACTCACCAACATGTGCTGAGCTCCCGACCTTGCCCAACCTTGCCCTCCATTGGTTCCATGAGGAACCAATCAGAAGTTAGCTGATGGGCTCTGGATGTGCTTTACCAATAACAGTGGAATGCAGAGCATAGAAACCGCCCTGGGAGGGTCTCTAGGCATAGCAACTTTCTTGAAGCTGCAGTTGACCAATCAACACAGGACAGGCTTCCCAAACCCAGAGGTGCACCAATCCTGAGACTGTTGCTATACAACTAGCGAATCCGATCCCCAGTCACTCCCCTTGCTCTACCCCACTGCTGCTCCAGGTCCTTCTTGCTCCACCCGCTGTGTCAGATGGATGGAGGACCCAAGTTAATACAGTTAACTAGTAAAATTAAAGACTCTTCGCTTTTGCATCATTTCGGGTCTCTTGATGATTTGGGGGTTCAGAGTTTGGGCACAACAGAAGGATCACTTGAGTTCAGAAGTTAGAAGCCAGCCTTAGCAACTTAGTAAGTGCCCATCTCAAAATAATATAGAACTGTTACGATAAATCTTTCCGCCAAAAACTGCCCAAGTCCCACCACCACGTGTGTGTTTTACGCCAGCCACCCGCCCGAGTTAGGGCCCAAATGAATACACAGAAACTTGTATTAGGTTCAAAGTTGCTTGGCCAATGACTAGGATTCTCATCTGTTTGCTAAATCTTAATTATCATAAATCTATATATTTTATAAGACTTACCTTATCGGATGCCTTATTGGCGTCCCTCCTTGCCGGTGGCTCACATCCTGCCGCTGGAGGAGACAAAGGGGAAAGAGGGGACACTTCCTGTTTCCTTTGCTAAATACACATCTCCTTGCTATGTCACTTCCGGCCTGGATCACACTTCTCTACTACATTTCCCAGAATTCTCTTTGACTCCTAGTCCCATCTAACTTGCTGTCTCATTGGCCAAACAGTATTTTATTCAACAATCAATAAGATAAACATACACAGAAGTACTTCCCCCATCATAGAACAACACAAATTAAATGTAAAAGTTAGTGGCAGTGTAGTTTGGTGGTAGAATATCAATGTAGCATGTACAAGGCTCTGGGTTTAGTTCCCAGTACCCCTCACTGATAACCAAAGAATTCATTAATAACAGAAATCACCACCAAAACCTACAACAAGGAGGTAAGTTTTAATACCTAACACCATAGTGACAGTAGTTTCCTCCCATTGCATTCTGATAGCAGTTACTCAGCTGTTTTATTTTTCAATGAGAGAAGCCTGCCTTCTTCCTCCCCTGGACCACAAGGCCTTATGGTCCTCCAAAGTAAGATGCTGTATTTGTTATTTATTCTTTTACAGTTTTATAAGTAGAGTACACATTAATCATTTCCAACCCCTCCATTGCCTCCCTCCCCCCTCCCACTAAACCTATTCATCCCAGCAAGTCCCCTCCTCCTTGCATGCCTTTGGGGTGGGGTGGGTACGCTGAGTTTAATTAGGGTTGTTTGCATAAGAGTGGGTGGGAAGCCATTTACTTAAACAAGGGCAAGTTACAGGGTCTATGCCACTGAGGGATAGGATCCTTTTCTCCCCTGAAAGCTTTTCCTTTTCTTTTTTGCTTTAATTAGCATGTTCCTTTTCTATAGGGGAGAAATCCAATAACATCAACAAGAGCTCCTGGGGTTTGCTGCAAGAACAACTCCAGCATTTCAGACTTCTGAGTTTGAAGAATCTGAAATGTAACTTGGGAACAAGGTAATAAATGACGTATTTGGACAGATACCTTTAGGGAAAAAACTACCAAGAAATTGCTGCCTTGGTTTTGTGGTCAAATTACCAAATTGAAGACAGAATAAGGACACATGTTCCCAGAAAAATAACATGGTTACAAGAAAATCAACCAGGTTACATTGTGCATGAACCAGAAGCTAAACTATTATTCTAAGTCATTTAGGCCAAGGAAAAGAAAAAGCCAGACAGCCAAAAGGGGAAAGAGAACTGCTAAGGTAGAGAAAGACGGAGGGGAAAAGAGTGTCAGCTAGACTAAGCCATCTGCTAGGCCAGGAGGGCAAAGCAAGGCAAAGGGATAATGTAACTGAACAAATAAATATATGACTGTGAAATGGTTCTTAAAATATCAAAGCCACAGGGCTTGGGAGATGGCTCCAACTGTAAAAGGCTTGCTGTACAAGCATGAGGATGTAAGTTCAGATAGCTGACACCCATTTGAGAAGGCGAGCGTGGCAACATGACCCCATAATTTCTGTGCTGAGAAGGCTGAGACAGGTAGATCCCTAGAACTTGCTCACCAGCCGGCCTCAACAAATCAGTGAGACACAAGTTCAGTGAGAGACCCTGCCTCAAAAAAATAATGTGGAGAACCACTGAGGAAGACATCTGAGCTCAACCTGATCTCTACATATACTTACATGTGCACGCATCAATGTTCACACATTCACCAACACACATGCACACAGTGTGAAATCCAGGTGGACTGACCCATGCCTTTGGTCTCTGTTACTTAGGAGTTTGAGGTAACATCCTTGAGGTTCAAAGAGTCTAGTTCCTTTCCTCCTATGATTCCCAGATGCTTTCTGTGCAGCTGTCTCCAGGCTACCAGAGAGCTTTCATTGGGACAGTTAATTTGATTAATAGCAGCTTGCCTTCAACCATACCACCCTGCACATACCCAATCTTACCTAATATCATCTTTACTGGGCCACAGGGTGCCAGATAAACAGTCAAACGCTATACTCAGTATTGTTTCTTGAGGATGTTTCTAGATGAGATCAACACTTGATCCAGTAGACACAGTAAAGCACATTGTCTTTCCTAATATGGTGGACCTCATCCAATTAGCGGGGCCTCAAAGAAGAAAGGGACTAAGAGGGAATCCCTCCTATCTGGCTGCCTTTGATCTGGTATATCAGTTTGGGTTTTCTGTTTTTGTGCCTTCAGACTTGAACTAAAACAGGAGCTCTTCCTGAGTCTTCCAGTGCCAACTTCAGAGTTTGGTACTTATGGTCATGTAAGATTATAAGCCGCTTCCTTATAATAAATATATTTATATTGTAAAATATATGTGTGGTGTTTGCCCAGTTTGATGACATACAGCAAATAAAATCCTTGGGATTTCTGGAGTGATGACAGTATGTTTTTAGGCTCATGAGGTAACTGATAGTGAGGGGGTCTCAGAGTAGGGACCACTTGGCAGGGGGACCAGGGATGTGATCAAAGAACTAGAACTTTAATTCCTACCCCTGCCCCCTGGATCTGAATGATGACTTGGCCACCAATGGAATGATTTAGTCAACCATACCTATGAAAGACCTCTGAAGAGGTACTTTCGTAGAAGGAGACCCGCACCCAGGAATCAGCGAAACCACGAACTTTGGATGCAAAAGCAAGAGGTTTTATTGATGGCGCACATACCCGGGGACTTAGCTTTTGTTAGGCTAAGCCCCGAGCTAAGGGAGAGGGGTCCTTATATAGCTAAAAGCACTGTGCAGAAGTGAAAAGCATAGTTACAGGGATTCTATTGGACAATTTAATGAGGTACAGAGTTATTTTAGGTCAGTATATTCTCAAGGTCTGCACCTGGTACAACAGACCCAATTCCCCCCTCCGTGTCCAGATGGCTGACCTTGGGACGGAGGTTCCCCATTGGGCGGGGGCACGGGGGCGGGGGGTGTCCTCTCCCCGCTCGGCCCCAGCCCCGGGGTGCGGCGCCAGGCGGGCGGGCCTGGGTCGCGGCC